GGCTTGGGAGGTAGCGATGGCGATCGCATGGGCGAAGGGGCGATGGGGGGGTGGGGGCGGGGGTGCACGGGGAGGTAGCGATGGAGATCGCTTGGGCGAGGGGGGCGTGGATTGGGAGGTAGCGATGGCGATCGCTTGGGCGAAGGGGCGAGGGGGGGGAGGTAGCGATGGAGATCGCTTGGGCGAGGGGGGCGTGGATTGGGGGGTAGCGATGGAGATCGCTTGGGCGAGGGGGGGCGTGGATTGGGAGGTAGCGATGGAGATCGCTTGGGCGAGGGGGCGAGGGGGCGGAGGTGATGGGGGGGGGTGGTGGGTGGGTGTGGGGTGGGGGTGGGGGTGGGGGTGGTGGTGGTGGTGGTGGTGGTGGTGGTGGTGGTGGTGGTGGTGGTGGTGGTGGTGGTGGTGGTGGTGCGGGGGTGGGTGGGGGCGCTGGGAAATAGCGATGGCGACCGCTTGGGCGAGGGGGAGTGCATGGGGAGGTAGTAGCGATGGCGATCGCTCGGGAGTGGGTAAGGAGGATGGTATAGAGGAGGGGGTGATGAGGCGGAGGATGAGGCTTATTCGACCAGAGAGCGGATGGAAGTGGTGGATTGGGTGAAGAGCATCAGGGAGGGGGAGGGTGGGGGAGGGGGGGGGAGTCGGAGGCGGTGGAGGGCAAAGCGATCTCGATCGCTGTGCGGTCATTGCCGCTAGCTTAGCCGTCCACTGGTTAGCCGTTGCTGGCTCTGGCGGGCGCGCGCGCCCCCGTTGCCGCCGCGCTAGCATCATGGCGGCCAGCGCGCTGGTGGAGCAGCTGGAGGCCGCCGCATCGTTCCTCACTCAGCTTGAGAAGGGGCGCGGCGGACACGTCACCGCGCGCGCGCATATGCAAAAACAAAGCGATGGGGATCGCTGGGCGGAGGTGAAGCGATGGCAATCGCTTGGGAGGCGGGGGGCGATGGGGATCGCGGAGGTGTAGCGATGGCGATCGCTCGGGAGGGGGAGGAGGAGGATGACGAGCAAGCTGCTTTAACTGTTTTAACGCCGTTTTTGGCGCCAACTGCTTTAGCAGATTTAACGTCGTTTTGGGCGGACGGGGGGCAGTAGGAAGTGGAGGGGGAGAGCGATAGCGATCGCTGGGAGGGGACAGTAGGAAGTGGAGGAGGAGAGCGATAACGATCGCTGGGAGGACGAGGAGGATAGCGATAGCTTGTCCCTCTCGTCCATCAGCGCCGTCCCCCGTTTCAGCGCCGCGCCCCTCTCCTCGATCGCCTTCTTCAGCTCCACCTCCGCCTCATTCGTCGTCGCCGTCGTCGTCGACATCGTCGTCGTCGTCGTCGTCGCATCCCGCCTCGTCCAGCCATTGCGAGAACTGGCGGGCCCGCTCCGTCCTCCTCCCCTTCCTCCCCTTCCTCCCCTTCCTCCCCTTCCCCCCCTTCCCCCTCCTCCTCCTTCTCCCCTGCCTCCCGTCTTTCTCCTCCTCCTCTCTTTCCTCCCCTTCCTCCTCCTCCTCCTCCTCCTCCTCCTCCTCCTCCTCCTCCCCCTTCTCCCCTCGTCCTCCTCCTCCCAGCGATCGTTATCGCTCCAGTTCTCGCAATGGCTGGACGAGGCGGGATGCGACGACGACGACGACGACGACGTCGACGACGACGGCGACGACGAATGAGGCGGAGGTGGAGCTGAAGAAGGCGACCGAGGAGAGGGGCGCGGCGCTGAAGCGGGAGACGGCGCTGAGGGACGAGAGGGGCAAGCTGCTGACGGAGAAGGAGGAGAAGGCGAAGGCGAAGGCGGAGAAAAAGAAAAATAAAAAGGAGAAGAAGGAGAAGAAGGAGAGGGAGGCGGCGGCGAAGGAGGCGGAGGCAAAGGCCAAGGCGAAGCCGAAGGGCCGCGCGCGGGCAAAGGGCAAGACGTGAGCGCCGCGCCTCCTCCCTCCTCCCCCTCCCCCCTCCCCCCTCAAGCAACAGTTAGGAATACTTATAAGTAACTTATATGTACCCCTTAAGTAACTTACAGCGCGTGCGCTATGGTTACTTATAAGTAACTTATATCTAACTCAGGTAAGTAGCGTAAGTACAACTAAGATACTTAGACTACATATAGCTAGGGTGCAAGTGCGCTTAAGATCTTGAAGCCTTTAAGCAGAAGAACCCCCCCCCCGTGCCGCCCCCCCGCCCCCCCCGCCCGGCGCCGCCCCCCCCCCCCCCGGTGCCGGCACCCCCCCCATATATATGTGTGTATATATATATGTATTATGTATATAGATATATGTATATATATATATATATATACATACACATATCTATCGGAGTAGGCCAGGGGGGGGGCCCGGCTGCTGCCGCTGGTCGCCATGGGGGCCCCCCCGGGCCATTTTTTGGCCCCCCCCCAGCCCTCAGTCCCCAGAAGCTTCCGAAGAGGCCACAAGAGGCCCCCAGTGGTCCCCTGCGGGCCCCAAGAGAGCCCCAAGAGGGCTCCTGAGGGCCCCAAGAGGGCCTTCAGGAGGCAACAATCGGCACATTTCTTTCGTAAAAGGTACATATTCGGCATACTTGCTGGCCTCGTCTTCACAGTGCCCCAGACGCCCCCGCGGAGCCCAAGAGGGACGCCCAAGAGGCCCACAAGACAGCCTCAGCGAGGCCCCAGAGGGCCCGAGATGGCTTGAAGATGGCCGAAGAGGGCCCCAAGAGGGCCTTCAAGAAGCAAGCATCGGCCCATTTCCTTCGTAAAACGTACATTTTCACAGGCAGTGCCCCAGACGGCCCAAAAGGGTCGGCCTGTGGGGATCACCGAACCCCCCGAGACGGCCCAAGAGGCCCCGAAGCCGGTCCAAGAGGCCCCCAAGACGGCCTCAGGGAGGCCCAAGAGGGCCCCGTTCGAAATCATGTTCCCGGAAGCCTCTCCGGGAACATGGTTTCCGGGCTCCGCTCCCTACCGGGCCTCAGGACAGCTTCAGCGAGGCCCTAGAGGGCCCGAGATGGCTTGAAGATGGCCGTAGAGGGCCCCAACAGGGCCTTCAAGAGGCAAAAATCGGCCCATGTCCTGCGTAAAACGTGCATTTTCGGCATACTCGCTGGCTTCGTCTTCACAGTGCCCCAGACGCCCCCGCGGAGCCCCAAGACAGCCCAAGAGAGACCCAAGAGGGCCCCAGACGGTCCAAAAGGGTCGGCCTGTGGGGCTCACCGAACCCTCCGAGACGGCCCAAGAGGCCCCGAAGCCAGCCCAGGAGGCCCCCAAGACGGCCTCAGGGAGGCCCAAGAGGGCCCCGTTCGAAATCATGTTCCCGGAAGCCTCTCCGGGAACATGGTTTCCGGGTTCCGAGGACGCCCTAGAGGGCCCCAGGACAGCTTCAGCGAGGCCCTAGAGGGCCCGAGATGGTTTGAAGATGGCCGAAGAGGGCCCCAAGATGGTCTTCAAGAGGCAACAATCAGCCCGTCCCCGTAGTAAAACGTACGGACTCGGCGCGAGACAACTGGCGACCGCAGCTGCCGTCCTTCGTGCTGGGCGCGTGCGAACCTGGCGTTCAGTTTGAACGGAACGTGTCGGGTCTGTTGCCAATCGGGGCTGCGCCAGGTTAGGCCGCCCCCAAGGTCAGGTTCGGGAATGGCTCGTAGCAACACGACGACCTGACAACGACGACGACGACGACGACGACGACGACGACGACGACGACGACGACGACGACGACGACGACGACGACGACGACGGCACGCCCCAACAGGCTCCCCAAGACGCCTTAAACCCATGCTCCCAGAAGACCTTCTGGGAACCCGATTCATACGGCCTCCGCCCCCCTACACAACCATATTCCTCGAAGCCTTTCGGAATGCAGATTGGTATACGTGGACTGTGGTCCACTACTTCAGTGGAGCTGTGAATTCGTCAAGGCCTGGGGCCTGCTAGAACCTGAGCGCGCGCGAAGCGCGCGCGATGGTTCTAGTATATATATACACATACATATACGTATACATATACGTATACGTATACACATACATATACATATACATGTATAACGACGTTGCACCATCATGTGTTTCTTATGTATGTTCCTGGGAACATCCCTCGTTGTTGACATCAGCATGAAACCGATGGTTGTTGAAAGATTCCGCATGCGCGCGTGTCGATTTTACGGAGGCTTCTTATATGGGTTGTTGGATTTGGATGGTTTGTGATAAACAATGCGCATCGTGGTATTTGAGAAAGACGGCGGTGCGGGGAGGGGGGGCGATAACCGTAACCGTTTGGCAGAGGTGGTATGAGTTTATACTACACATAAACGATGGGGCAGAATCAGAAGGCCTGGCCGCCAGCATGTGCGATGTTGCGCCGGGGTGCTTCGGCGCCAGGGCGTCGCAGTGTGCCAGAAGGGAGGCGGCGGGGAGGAGCTGCGGCCGACCTGCCAGCACCGGGGATCCAGCGCGTTTGGAAATGGCCCCTGAGGGCCGCTTTGGCTCCGAGGCGCCGGAGTGTGCCAGAGGTCAGGGTCGTGTCGTTTAAGCGATCCCCCTACCATCCCACCACCTAAGTTGGGCCTCGAAATCCGCAGGGAACACCCTGTGCTTCCATCTCCGGGGGTAAATCGGCCAGTGGGGCCTGAGCCACGCCATTGGGCATTGGGATCGGTCAAACGATTCTCAAGAGCGCCGCGCCCTTCGACCACCTTTTTTGCGGCCGCGGCGGCAGTCTGGAGGCCCTGGCCACCCCGCCCTGCAACCTGCAACCCTCGAGCGTCCTCCGTTTAGTGCCGCCCCCGTTGGCATCCGCCCCGGGGGTCGGCTACGCGTAAGGGTGACTCTTCGGCGGAGTCCCGCTGGTGCGGGCCCACAAGGGTTCCCCCAGCACCGGCTTGCGTGCTCGGGCTTGGCCCCCCTGCGGCCTCACGATTTGCGCATCAAAATTCGTTCTTGTCTAAGGTCGTTCCTGCATGTGGCCGAAGGGGCCAGAGGAGGCCGAAGCGAGGCGACAGCGGCACGACGATCGATGCCGCGGGCCGGTCCGCCGAGTGTGGCGCGAGCGACGCCCAGCAGGCCGCGGAAGGACCCCGACGATGCGGAGGCGTACCTGAAGGCAGCCGCGCCCGCGCGTCCGTCCCGGCGCCTCCCCGGGTTCATGTCCACGGCTTGTTGGCCACGCGCAAAAGGGAGGCCGAGGGGAGGGAGGAAGGCTTTTTGGAAGGAGGCCGCCGCCTGGAAGGCGCGAGCCTTGACGTACGGCGGGCGCCTTCTGAGGCCGCAAGCGCTGTACATGCCGATGCCAACCACGTTGGTTTCGCGACGACCGCATCAACTGACGTCAGACCTTCAGGTTCGGACTCACCCAAGCAAGACCCGTCCAATCCGAAGGGCTGCGCAATACCAATTCCAGGACATCTGATCGCCAGGCGCGCGAGTCTGGAAATGTTTGAATTTCTGGAACTCATCTTTGTGATTTCGGTATGTCTGGAATTATTTTTGGGGATTTCGGAGTTTTCGGAGTATCGTTTCAGAATGTTTGGAATGTTGGCTTGCACGCGAAATTGTATCCATTTAACATTTCAGAATTTGTTGGATCATGTTTTTGGCGATTCGGAATTTTGGAATCGCTCTGTTCGCGATTCAAGTTTCCAGAATCATTTTGTTTGCGATTCGATATTTGGGGGATCGCGGGCTTGGCGATCGGACAATCTGGGGTTGGCATTTGCGTCGGTGTTCAAGTTTGATTGTGTCCGTTCGGGAGATGTGGAATCAGATCTGACGTTGTTCGACGCGATCGTCGCAAGGCCAACGTGGTCGATATCCGCATGTAAGGCCCTTGCAGGTATCTTCGGTAAGATCGCCATTTCCAGCGTCGGCACCGCAACTCTTTACCACACCGCTATCCCCCCTCCAAATTCTAAGGAGCCTCCCCACCTCCCCTTGCCCCCGTCTGCGCGCCGCCAATTTCGGGGGAGGGAATGCCAAGGGCGCAGAGGATTTTGATAAGCATCTGGCTTCGACAGAGGCCAGAGTTTATCCATATTCGGGAGCGGCCAACAGCGGGGTGATGACTAGTGGGGGTGGATATCATGGCGTGGGCCATGATATTTCCCCAGATTTCATGACGTCTCTTCTTAATTCATTACGTCCCTGGCCCCCGCCCCCTGGTCCGCGCACATGCCGCCGGCCATGATTTGTGCCCCCCCCCTCTCCAGGACGCCCCCCTCTTGGCCGCTCCCGACATACCCACTGCGTCGCTTGTTTCTAGGGAAGAGGGTCCGGAAATCCGAGACGCCGTGGTTATGGGTGTAATGTGTTGCCCGCAGGCGTGCGCCCCCTCCCCTGGCGGGCCTGCCTCGGCTCAAAAAACTACTCCGGATGGAGCCTGTCCCAGTGGACGGGCTCCGGGTCGTCAAGAAACGACAACAGATGAGGAGCCCGTCCCTGGAGAGTGGTCTTAACCTCTGGGTGTGCACGCTGCGAACAAATCATGATGTCGGAGGTCTGAGCACATCGACCCTAACCTGTGTGATCGGAATGGGTACGGAAATAATGGGCACGAATATTGACAGCGTTGCAGGTTCATTTTGAACAGGCCTCGCTGTCGGCGTCGCCGCGGACGTTGGCTTTTCGAGGCAGAAGACCTCCTGCCCAACAGCGGCCGCTGCCGCTTGTGGACAACACTTGCTGTTGGGCATCGTACCCATGTTTTCTGCACCCTTTTCGGGCTTCCAGCCCTAAACAGGCCCCTCCTGCCCAGACCCCCGACGTCATGGTTCTGTCATAACTTCGACCCTCAGAGGTCTCGACCCATTCGCCGGGACCTGCTTGTCATCCTGAGTCGTTGTTTGACGGTCCCGAGGCCCGGAGAGGGCCTCCAGAGGCTGAAAAAGCGAACAAAAACATCCCGCAGTTTTTTGTCACGGCGCGGGGGGGTTTGGCTGGGCCCAGGATCAGTGCCGGCGGTCTCGGCGGTCGCCGTTGCTGCGCCGTGGTGGCACCATTGCGCGGAAGGTTGGGAAGGTGGAGGGCGAGGGAGTTTGCGCCAGACCACACAGCTCCGTTCGGCAAATTCCTTCGCGGCGGTGGTATTGGCTAAGCTGCCCGAGGGGCCCAGGGAACATGAGCTGCCGCTGCCTGCCCCTTCCAGCACTGGACTTCGGGGCGCTTGCCGCGGTTTGCTGATGCATGCGTCCACGTTTGATCAGTCGAACGACGATACGAAGAGGACGACGACGGCGACGACGACGACGGCGGCGGCGGCGGCCGCGGCCGCGGCGGCGGCGGCGGCGGCGACGGCGACGACGACGACGACGGACGACGACGGCCACCCAGAAGAACTCGAGCCTTGCGTCTCCCCTGCCGCGTCCACCCTTGTCGCCCCTCGATCGCCCTCCCGCTCCCGAGGTACGTGAGCTGATTCGCGCCCCCCCCCTTCACTATCCCCCATTGCCTCCGCCCCAAACCCAGGTCCCAGCGGGGCCTGGGCAATGACTGGAACTGGAGCTTCCGAAAGCCTCTACAAGTGGCTGGGGCTCTTCGGGTTGGGGGCACGGGGTCTTGATGATGATGATGATGATGATGATGATGACGATGATGATGATGATGATGATGATGATGATGCTGATGATGATGATGATGATGCTTATTATGATGATGATGATGATGATGATGATGATGATGATGATGATGATGATGATGATGATGATGATGGTGATGATGATGATGATGGTGGTGATGATGATGATGATAATGGTGATGATGATGAGGAGGAGGAGGAGGAAGACGAGGAGGAGGAGGAGGAGAATGCGGTTGAGGATGAGGATAAGGTGAAGATGTTGCCGATGGTGATGGCGATGATGATGCTGCTGCCACTGATGGTGATGACGATGCAGAATAAGAGGATACTAATGATGATGCTGATGCTGATGCTTATGATGATGGTAATAACGATGATGGCGATGGTAATGGTGATTGTGATGAATATGATGATGACGACGATGACGACGACGATGATTATGCTCATGATGATGGTGGGGATGGCAATGAGGAGGCGGCGGAGTAGGATGATGCTGCTGATGATGACGATGATGACGATGCTGAATAGTAAGACGCTGATGGTGATGATGGCGATGCTGGTGATGTTGATGGTGATGATGATGCTGATGGTGATGATGATGATGATGATGATGATGGTGATGACGATGATTATGATGGTGATGGTGATGATGGTGGTGATGATGGTGGTGATGATGGTGATGCTGATGCTAATGATGATGCTGGTGGTGATAATCATGGTGATGATGGTGATGATGCCGATGATGATGGCGATGGTGACGGTGATGGTGGTGATGATGATTATGACGATGACGCTGACGATGATGATGATGATGATGATGATGATGATGATGATGATGATGGTGGTGGTGATGATGATGATGTTGATGATGATGTTGATGATGATGCTGCTGATGATGATGACGATGATGGTGGTGATGATGGTGACACGTTCCAGTATTTCCAGGTTTCCCTGCTGCTCCCCGCGGTCTCCAGAGACGAGGGCCGCAATGTACTCTAGAGTTTACCTGAACGTATCCTGAGCCAGTCGCATCATGATATGATTTTCCTTCCAGTTCTAACCTACACTGTTGAGGTCAGGCGTGCGCGTGATTTTCTTTCACAGCTGTATTCTACAGCTTGGACTCCGTTATGCCTCCCCCGTCTCTTCCCCTGGATCCCTTGCCCAGACCCGCTTTTTTCATGTTGCTCGGAGATCGTCGTCCCCTCCCCCCTTGGCCCCTCTATTGTATCCCCCATCGAGGGTTGGCGAGCCTCAAGCCGCAGGCCTGGGACGACGGCGACTTCGGCGGCGGCGGGCGACGGCAGACGGCGGACGGCGGCGGCGGCGGCGGCGGCGGCACCGACGACGACGGCGACGGCGACGGCGGCGGCGGCGGCGGCGGACGCCGGCGGCGGCGAAGGCGAGAGACGGCTGCGACGGCGAGCGGCCTGGGCCCTCCGAGGCCTGGGCGGCCTCCCGCGACGGCTCGGGCGGCGCGGGGTGGCGCTTCAACAAGGCCACGCAGGCCGCGCGGGACGCCAGCCGGTGGCGGCGGCTTCGACCTTGGCGACGTTCTCGACGATGGCGGTAGAGACGATGATTTCGACGACGGCGGCGTTGGCGACTTCGACGGCGGCGGCGGCTGCGACGATTTCGAAAACGACGTCGACCGCGACCAAGACCACGACCACGACGACCACGACCACGACCACGACCACGACGACCGCGACGACCACCACCACGACCCCGACGCCGACGACCACCACCACGGCGGCGGCGACGACGACGACGACGACGACCGACGACAAAGACGAACGACGAACGACGACGTGGACGGCGGCGATGACGGCGGCGACGGCGGCGATACATTGACGATGCGGCGAGACCCCCCGACTGGCGGGTATGCAGTTGTTCGGCGAGGCCAGCGCCAGAAAATGTTGACCATTGTGGAGCATCCAAGACCATCTGAAGAGAAAAAACTGACGAAACCCAACAATGCACGGGGAGTAGACGCCCGAATGGTGGCAAGTTCGTCCTGCATTTTCGGTGCCCCCCAGGGCGCCGTGTTGCCGCAGATCGGTTGGTGGACTCGCCGCGGTTTCCGAAGCGCGGTTTTGTTGTTCGGCCCCTCGGAGGGCCCATTTCATGCCCTCGGGGGCGGAACACTTGCCAGGATGGAGCCTTGGAGGGGCTTGGGGGCCGATTTGGAGCGGAATCTGGTCAGCGCGCGTCGCGTGGGCGGTGGGGCGAGGGCGAGGGTTTTCTAAGAAGGCAGGGGGTGTTTTCAGAGCAGTCCGTGTCTCCATCCTCGGGGCCCGGCGACGTAGCGTGTGGCGCCCGCGGCGGCTGGGAGCGGACTGGAGTGGTCACTCCCAGGCCCCCGCCGGCGCGCAACATTACGTCACCAGTCGGGGGCCTCGAGACGGAGGTTCACGCCACCGGGGGTCAGCCAGAGCGCCTGATTGTCCTCGCTTTTTGCTCGCCCATCTTAGGGATAGGGATACGTTCGAGGCCGGTTATGTCCAGCCTGCTGTGCCAGTCTGCGGTGCTCGCGGCTCTCTCCGCGGGGCTCCGTGGCTCGCGCGGCGGGGAGCGGCGGGCAGTGCGCCATGGATCCAGTCTTGGCACTCCGAGCGCCAGATCTTGCAGGATTCTGCAGGGCCGGGGGCGCATTGACCCGGGCCAGCGCGCAGGATCCTGCAGGACCTTGCAAGGCCTGACTGACCCGGGTTTGGATTGACCCGCGTCAGTAGATCCCCGAACCAGGAGGCTGCGGCGGGCCCATTGCGCCGAATCATATCGACCAACGAACAAACGGCACCACCCAACCCACGGCCCCCTATGTTGCGCTGCGGCCCATCGGGGGCCGTAGCGTATACGACGCAAAAGCCCGAGCTGGAATTCATGGTGTATGCTAAAGCCCGTGGGGGCGTGGTTGGGGTGGTGTCGTTTATGTTCTGGCCCACAATAGGAGAGCGTGCTGGAGGCGCGCGAGGATGATCGCGCTGCGCGGCCCGAGCTGCGAGAGCGCGAGGATCACCGCGGCTCGCGCGGCGCAGTGCGCGAAGCTGGGTGGCCCGATCGGTTTCGAGGCGTCCTCGTCTCGTAGGTCACCCTCGGGGGCGCGAAGATATAGTCAACTCGCACTGCAAGGGTGAGCGACTTTCCAGGGCCACCCTTGCACCCTTCCCCTCCGGGCCGTCCTTGGTGAATGTCGTTCGCCAACTTCGCTCGAAAAACGTCACAGTCGGACCGAGGTATAAGATCGAGATCGGTTCGGGGAGGGTGCCCTAGTGTTCTTCGTGTTTGTTGGATGCTTTTGCGCATCATGGGGAAGGTGCCCTTGGATGTTCTGTGTGCTTTGGCCGGCGGAGGGGCTGCTGACCCAGGTCCGACTGCAGCACGGCCTTCCAGGGCCCAGGCATCCCTGCTGCGCGTCCTTCTGCTGCACGGGCGGGCTGCAGCCGCGCCTCGCGCGGCGCGGGCTTGGCCGGAGCGGCCCGGCCTTTCTGTTCCGAGGGGGCGGCGCGCGGGCGCGGAGAGCGTCCCGATTTGCGCGGCGCAATGCGCGTCGTTCGGAGGGCACGGGTGAATTTCTCAGTGGCGAGCGAGGGGGGGAAGTGAGAAGGAGGAGGCCTTCTCAGAAGGCGGCGGGACTTCTGAGAAGCCCTCGCGTCTTCTGAGGAAGTGTTCTGCGTCCTCGGGGAAGGCTTCGAAGACGTCTCAGAAGGCCGGGGGACTGGCGAGCCTTCTGAGAAGGCCTTCTCCTCACTCCCCCCTGGCTCCCCAGCGATGTTAGGTGGCCCAAGTGTTCTCAAAGCGTTATCGTTTCGTTTTTGCTCGCATCTGACCGCAGTTGAACAGTTCACCGGTGGGCAGCGGCGGCAGCGAGCCTCGTCGTCCTCCTCCAGAGGCCTGAAGCCCGAGAAGGGCCAAAACATTCCATGTGTCTTCGATGATCCTCTGGAACCGATCCTCCTCGACCCGGAGACGGCCTCGGCGGCGGCGGCGGCGGCGGGAGGCGGACGGGGTCGCCCCACCCCCCGCCGAGGCCTGGCTGCTGAGGCACGCGTACGACCCGGAGCGCGTCTCGAAAGGCGCGCGTCGTGTTCCTTCGTCGCCTTCCTCGTCTTCGTTCCTTCTCCGGGGCAGTTCTCTCGACGGCCACTGGGCCCGTGGAGGACCCCGGGTACCCGGAAGCTGCGAACGGTTCCAGGACAGACGCCGAAGGAAAGCAGGTCCCCTCTCCTCCCAGGACCCGCCGCAGTCGTGCTGAAGTTTGTTTTGCTGCCACACCGCGCCGTTCGAAGAGAAGGTAGCGCTGAACTGCTTAATTAGCCCGTTCTCTCTCAGAACCGGCCGATGCTTGTGGAGGTGTCTCAGCTAAGGAGCGACCGCGACCAGCCACCGCTGGAAGCGCGGCAGGGGGGTGAGGAGATCCAGGCCCCGCCCAGCTGGAGCGGGCAGGCCCAATGCTCCATCCGCCCCACCCACCTTCATCCTCCTCCTCCTCCTCCGCCTCCGCCTCTTCCTCCTCCTCCTACTCCTCCTCCTACTCCTCCTCCTCCTTGCGTGTTGATTCTGTCATTTGGTCATACGCATACTCATACTCCTCTTCCTCCTCCTGCTCCTCCTCTTTCTCATCCTCATCCTCCTCCTAGCCCTGCAGGCCATCTAGGTCCTGCGGAGCAGGTCCTCTAATGAGGCCTGCGATTAAACACTACGGAGAAACCTAGATGCTCTACAGGCTAATCTTCAGGCTTGGCTTACTCGGAGTCGTTCCCAACCGTCTTTGTCCTTTGTCATTTGTCCTCCTCTTGCTCCTCCTCGTGCTCCTCCTCCTGCTCCTCCTCCTCCTCCTCCTCCTCCTCCTCCTCCTCCTGGGAACTGGACGTGCGTGCGTTGCGTCACGTTACGTTACGCTATGGTCCGATCGAGCAGAGTTCGGTCGCCGCGCGGGGCACGGACCCGGACTGGAGCCAGAAATTTGGAGTTCGGGCATCGCTGCGCGAGGGGAGACAAACAAGGAGGATGAGGAGGAAAGGAGGAGGAGGAGGAGGAGGAGCAGCAGCAGGAGGAGGACGACGAGAGAGGAAGAAGAAAGAACGAGCGTTGAGCTCCTGCCTTAGACATTGTCCATCCTTGTGGCGGGTCGTCCTTGGACGTGCGTGCACTGCTCCACACAAAATCAATTCGGGCATGTGCCTCTCAGTCAGTCAGTCAGTCCAGCCTGGCGCACAGACGGCGTATTGGCAAGATTAATAAGTTATGCGCGTGACCGGAGACACCAGCAATAGCCCCAGGCTCGGACCGGGCAGAGAAATGCGGGCAGTGAGAACGATACGAATTCACTTGCAAACGTATCGGCGCCACGCGGGGAGAGGGGGAGGAGGGGAGGGGGCGAGGAGGAGGGAAAAGGGGCGGAGAGGAGAGGGGTAACAGAAACGCTGCACTTAAAGCGAGCGTGTAGGCAGAAGACTATACACGCAAGGGGCCCACTGCTGTTTAGGCCTTCCCCTGCGTCGCCAGTGCGCCCATCTTCTGGGCAGGTCGGTGCCAGGCTGGCAAGTGAAAAGTCTGAGAAGTTCGTCTCCAGGCAACGCTGGAATTTTCTTGTACAGCGCCGTTTTGCGCCAGCGAAGTGTGGAGCTCAATGGGTGTTCCCCCGCTCGCTCCAAAACCTTTGTACTAGACACTCGTGAAACATGATCGCTTGAAATTATTAGAACTCGTCTTAAACATTGCGTGTGGAAGTTGTCTAAACTGTCTTTCTCTGCCTGCAGCAGCCAAAGCGTTTCCAAAGTATACGGCAATGTTGGCCAAACGATTGCTTTGTACAATTATATTTTTCTGGCGCGGCTGATGTTGGCGTGAGACCAACATTTACACAATTTCTGGAAAGCGGATTTGGCTTCACCGATTCTCCTGGTCATTTCACGGCTTTGTTGTGCAATTGGCGGTCATCAGGCCACCAGGATACATTGTTTGCTCCACCGCTGTCAGTGTGGCACCAGTAGGGGAGACAATCACGCCATCATTGTGCACGCTCGTGCATACAGTCTTGCCCCAATTCACTTCGTCGATTACAATGTCGAGTAACGTCTGTAATTTCCCCGAGTCGCTGCTTATGAGCATGGTACCATCTGCGTAAAGAAGGTCACGGCATACCAAGTATTCTTGTTCTTGGATGTTCATGTGGAGGCCGTCCATGCATTTGTCGATGTCGAAAAACATCACGCTTTGCACGATCATGAACAGGTAAGGCGAAAGAGGACAGCCTTGGGCAATTATTGCTGCTTGTTTCCGCAGGCGTGAGTTCCCAGCTGGGCCTTTTAATATGAAATGTCTACATTTGTAAATCGCCGCCATCATGTCCAGCATGTCCACAGGTAGGCCAAATCTACGAAGAACGCCCAAAAGTGCATCATGTGTTACCCGGTCAAACGCCTTGGACCAGTCCAACAACATTGCAATCAAACCAGGTGCCTGCGCTGGTTGCGCTGCTTCGAACATCCGCCGAGCGATGCTAATGGTCTGGGCCGTGCCTCTGCCAGGACGAAATCCGAATTGGCTGGATAGTATTATTTTCTCGGCGCCTCCATTTTGAATACGGTTTTGCAGCATCCAAGCAAGGAGATAATACCCAATCGTCAATACAGAAATCGGCCTGTAGTTCTCTGGCAAACTAGCGTCGCCCTTCTTATGTAAAAGTGCGATGATTGATGTATGCCACTCATGAGGGATATCTGTTTCGTTCCAGCACCTCTGAAATAATGTCATCAATTCTTTGCATGCTTCCGGAGAGCGTGCCGATGCTTTCCAGAGCTCTGGGGGTACATCGTCTACGCTTGTAACTTTCCCCGTAGCCAAAGCCCACAGTGCATCCTGAAGTTCCTGCATTCCCAAAGTGCCGGAGTAAATTGGCATGTGCCTCTACAGGAGGAATATTCAAGAATAGTTCAAGAAATAGTCTGGTGACGATTTTTCGTGCTCAGATGATCGTGCAACAAGTATTGCGTGTTTGCGATCTGTCTTACGAAAGCCGCCTGCAGGAGGACATGCCCGGCCCAAGCCAAAAAGTGTCCCATACCGCTCCTCTTCTGCCCGGCGGCTCCTCGCCACCTGTGGGGCCGCGCCCCGCGGTCGGGGCGCGAAGGGGTGGGGCGTGCCTCTGTGGCGGCGGCGCCGCGAGGGCGGCCGCGCCCAGGCGCCCTACGCCGGGTCGCGAGGCGGGGCTCCAGCGACGGGGCTCCCTGCTGCATGTGGACGGGGATCAGTCAGGGCACCAGTCGGCGGCGGGCGCGGGGGGGAAATGAGAAGGGGCGGGACTTCCGAGGCTTCTGAGAAGTTTCTGGACTTCTGAGAGGGCTTCTCAGAAGTTCTGTCTGTATTCGAAATAGGCCAAGGAAACGTCTCAGAAGCCCCCCGGACTTCTAAGAAGTCCCGCCTCCTTCTGAGAAGGCCTTCTCCTTCTCATTTCCCCCCTGGGCTCGTCGCCTAACCAGAGCCTGCGGGATCCTGCGCAGCGAGGGCTGCACCGACCCGGGCTCTGGGCGCAGGAGCCTGCAGGGACCCTGCAAGGGTTGAGCGGCCCGGGTCGGGGTCGACCCGGGGCAGGAGGTCCCCGAGCGAGGCGAGGCGGCACAGGCCCGCCCAGTGGCCGGCATTTTTGTCGGAGGCGCGGGCGCTGAGATCCGCAGGGAGAGGCTTCTGCAAGGGCTCCCACGAGGGCGCGAAGTTATTCGCGCTTCGCGGTCCTCGTTCCTTCTCCCCCTTCTCCTCGTCCTCCTATTCTCCCTTTGGGAGGGCGGCGCGAGAGCGCGAAGTTATTCGCGCTTCGCGCAGCGCGAAGCGCGAAGTTGGGAGCCCTAGAGGAAGAGGCTTCTGCACACCACCACCGTGCCTGGCGAGGGCCATCTTGGGCCTCAGGATGGTGTAACGGGCCCTCCTGGCCGAGGAGAGCTCCTGTCCCGTGTTGGAGCCGTCTGGGAGTCTGCGGTGGCCCAGCACTGGTTCCGGCCAGAAGGAAGGCAGGGAGGTTCAAGGTTCGGGGAGGCTTTTGGCCTTGTTCGGCCTCCACGGCCCGCGTTCGGGCCCTGGGACCGTGAGAAGCGGATCCAGTGGGCGAAAGAACCGCACCAGATGAATTCAGGAGGGGCCTGGGGGCCGATTTTGAGCGGATGTGGCCTCATCCCCCCTTCTAACAGATTCTTGTAGGGGATCCTAAACTTGATTTTCTCGTCGGAGTCATGAAAAGTCCGTCCAATGTTCGCAGACAGAACATGATACGCTTTATTAATCACTTCGCTCACTCCGCCGGCCCATCTCGCATCACTGGTGCTATGTATGTTCGTGGCGAGCGAAAAGGAGGAGGAGGAGGAGGAGGAGGAGGAGGAGGAGACGGACGAGGAGGAGGATGAGGATGAGGATGAAGAGAAGGTCTCTGGAGAGCTTTTCGTGTAAATTTGAAACGAAGCTGGTCATGGACAAGGCGCCTCTTTGGGAGTCGCTTGGGGCCTTCTGGGAGGCTTCTCGAGGGCCTCGTGGCGGTATGTTTGTGATATTCTAGGTGTCTCGTGGGAGCCTCTTTGGGGCCTCCTGGGGCGCCACTGCGGCCTCTTGGGGATCTCTTGGGGCCTCTCGGGGGCCTCTTGGGGGCTTCTCGGGGGCCTCTTGGGACCTCCAGGAGACTTCTGCGCCGCTCGAAATGTCCGTTCGGGTCCCCCTTCTGGGCCCGTTCTTGGAGCCATCTTGGGAGCCTCTTCGGCCATCTTGGAGGCCTCTGGGGCTGTCTTGGGGCCCTCTGGGGCCGTTTGGGGTGCTCTTGGAGGCCTCTTGGGCCGTGTTGGGGCGATCCTGGAAGCCTGTTGGGCCGTCTGACAGCCCCGGGAAGCCGAAAAGGCGAGAACGCCAAAAATTTTCGAACATTGAAGGGAAATCATCAATGTCTGCCTCTGTGGGCCCTCCTGGGAGGTCTCTTGGAGCCCTCTTGGGACGTCGAAGGCGTTTTGGGCTGTCTAGAGGCCATCTTTAGCGTCTTGGATCGTTCTTGGACCGTCTCGGATCATATTGAGCTCTCTTGGAGGCCACTTGACGC